GAATTAGGGCCTCCAGACTCCTCCAGCACTGGCGCAGGGATGGGATTACATCCCTTGGCAGTATAATACAGCTGCTGAGGTCAGGTCTGCGCTGCGAAGTCCATTAAAAGGACTTGCCTCAGCAACCATTGTGCACTGCCCCAATGGGACCTGAACTCCCGTCTTACTAAGTTTTATATGGGTAAGCTCATGCTGTTTGCCCCCTTTCTTAAATAAAGAGGGATATGCACAGTTGCTCCCTCAGGTAACATTGGGTTTATTAATAAACAAAAGTGATTGTATGAAGTATAACAAGTAGACTTGAAGTTGTTATAAGTAACAGCACACAGAACAAAGTAAGTTACTAATCAAAATAAAACAAAACACGCCAGCCAAGCTTAATACACTAAGAAACTTGTTACAAGTAATATTTTACCCTAACAGGCGTTCTTGTAATCTTCTTTCACAGAAGATGCCACACAGTCCATGACTCCAGTACAGGAAAACACTGAAGCATCTCTCCCCTCTCCACGTTTTATGAAATAATAAAACAGTGGAACCCAGGTGTCCCAGGACAGTGTGCTAACCACTTAGCTATAGAGTTATACTCACTTTCTCTCTGGCCCAATGACTGAGTTACAATTAAGAGGTTCACTGGGTGGCCAGACTGTAAACATTAGGTATTTCTATATGAAGTGCTTCTAAGCCACTAGGCCTTTTGGAAAATGTTATCCCAGTTCTCTTGTCTTTTTTAAATAATAAAACCTATTGTGGACACTGTTAGAATCTTCAGTTAGTATCAATTAGCATGCAGCAGAACCTCAGTTACAAACACATCAGGAATGGAGGTTTTTTGTAATTCTGAAATGTTCATAACTTACAACTGAACATTTATTTATGCAGCTTTGAATCATTACCATGCTGAATTAAAATCCTGCTTTTAACTACAGGTTGTACCTCCCTTAACTGAGAGACTATGGTCCGGCAACAGTAATGGTCCGGCAGAATCATGGATGTTCCTGGACCACAGAGTCCAGGTATAAGGAGGTCAGGCCACAGGGCAGGAGTGGGGGAGGAGGGGCATGACTAAGCCAGGAGCCCTGTGTTTCAGTTTGGAAAAGAGGAGACTAAGGGGGGACATGATAGAGGCCTATAAAATCATGAGTGGTATGGGAAAAGTGAATAAGGGGGCGCAGCAGAAAATTTTAGCCCCTGCTGCCAGGAAGTAGCAGGGGGTCCACGGCAGCTGTGGAGCCCCGGCAGCCTCAGAAACCACAGAGCCCTGGCCACCCCAGTAGTCCCAGAAGTCACAGCAGCCCCAGAACCCCCGGCTGGAGTCCTAGCTGGGGGCAACACAGGCCATGTTGGGAGAGATATCTCATCATTCAGCAAATCCCCTTGGTAGGGATCAGTCAGGTCCCAAGGGTGTCTGTTGAGGGATGTACAACCTGTATCTTAATTTAAATGTACAGAAACAATTTCCTTATTTTGTGAAATCTTTTTTTTTAATTATTTTTTAATCTTTTTTAAAAGTCGTTTACTTTTAACACAGTACTGTACAGGTTGTACCTCCCTAATCCGGGACTTTCTGGTCTGTCAAAATCCAGGGTCCAGCAGGACCACAGATGTTCCTGGACCAGAGCCCAGGAACAGGGAGGTCTGGCAGCGGGATCAGGAGTATGATAGCAGGGCCGATGACTCAGATGGGAGTTCCATGTCAGGGGGGGCTGCCACTGGAGCTCTGC